GCCATGTTGCTTAAGCTATCAGAATACTACTCTGACCCTCCGGATGACCGGGCGTCCTCACCTCCCACATACCTTCCTGCATCGTCGTCTGCTACTACAGGCTCTGGATACGTGCAGGAAGGATATGTCCAAGAACAGTTTGGAGGTGGTCGATACAAGGACACGCCAACAGAGCTCACTCCATCAAGACTGCGGAGCACAATCAAGCCAACAGCACGGGACGTTGGTATTGCGAGGGATGCTGCTATTCGACGTCAAGCAGCCTGCACTCCCAGTGTCATTTCTGGTAATTTTTCATCGAAACTTTTCTACCAGACGTCTGACTTTACCTTTGCTGCTAGATTCCATGCACTCTATTTCAAATAGCCGCCATGACTCTCCTCTGGTCGAGGATGTGCCTGCTCAGCACCCTGTGCGGGTGGAAGATCTATTTGCTGACACTTTGGCACCCACTGGCCAGCAGCAGCACCAGCAGCCCCAGTATGGCTCCATGGGTCCTTTTAACCTCCTCACAATGCCGTCCGAGGCCCAGTCTTTGTGGTCTGCGGAAATTCCCAGACTCTCACCTAGCCCGCTGGCTTCGTATTCTCAGTTACCGACCTCACCTCTTCTCATGCCTGCAGGTCAAAGCTCTCAGGGAGGTTCGCAAGATGGGCCCTGGAATTTTTCGTCCATAGCGCCGGTGAACTCCTTACCAACGACACATATCATCCCGCCGACTCCCATCAAGCCTGGAGAATTTTTGGCTCCGCCTGCTGCCGGTGGGCCACGTCACCGCGCAGTGACGTTCAGTCCGTCAACCAGCGGATCTCGTGTCGAGTCTGATTTTGCAATGGATGATGACAGTGCACCTGTTGCTGGTCGACGTTCAATAGAGACAAACTCTGCGCTTGAAGAAGGTTTCACTGCGTTGGATGCCCGTTGTCATTGACACTGCAAAGAATACGAACATGCCCTCCCACCAGGTAATCAGCCTGTGGATGAAGAGTCGAGGTCGAGCAATCAATAACACCAACTACTGGAACCTTTATGCGGGGTACTTCAAGGACCGCATGCGCCAGGAACTTGCAAGGCTCGGTGAAGATGCTCCTCCCCAGGATGGTTCGATGACACCAAGTAAATGATCCGTTTTTTCTGCACGCTATTCACTCCATGCTGATTATTTATTTTATAGGCACTGGTATTCGCCGTCAGTGCTACGAGCACTTCAAAAACACCTACCCAGATTCTTATCAGGATATCCTCGATACCTACGAAGAACTCGACATGCTGTCAGATGCTCCTCAAACCATCGCGCAGCGCACACAAACATTTCAGAAGCTTACCAGGAGGGTAGGAAGCATCGTGAGTGATAGGTTGTTGTAATATTTTGTTGACGAGCTGAGTGCCCTACCTGCAGCTTGATGGAGCTGCTACCAGGCAAGGTTTTGAGGCTGCCCTGGTCATGTGTGGCAATATTGTCAACGAAGATGCATCACTCGGCCCATGTTCACATGACGCCTGGTGCTGGTGGCGTAAGTGTCACCGACCTCGAAATTCTTCGTTTCTCACAATTTTTAATACTCTCTGTAGTTCTTCGACAGGCGCTGCCGAGCCAGTGACCATGTCATCATCGGGCACATGAAAGCCCATGTTTACAATACTATGTCACTTGCTGCCGTGGAACAGACCTTCAAGACCACTGAAGGGGACGAGGAGCAGGCACCGATAGAGGTCTTGGATGTGAGCTCGTCTGATGTAGGCGAAGAGAAGGATGCGTTAAAGTCGCTCAAGGCTGGGCTAGTCAAACAAGTTGGTTCGTAGCACATCACATCTCACAGTGAGATACTGACAATTTTCCCCAGCGGACCTCGGTGGCAAGTTTTCGGATAGACCCTTCCCATGGATATTGATGCCTAGCTCACTCGCTAATGATCACCTACGTATTGAGGGGTACCCCGCGCACTTAAGTTTGATGCCAGGAGAGTCTCACAACAGTAATTCACGGAGTAAAGGTGTTGCAGGGCTCACGCAACGCGAGGTCAATGTACTCGCACTCGCATTGAAGGCAAAGACAATGCGCGTTGTCAAAGTAACAAAAGCCATTGGAGGTACGTGCTACAGCCTTTTGAAATCACTTTAACTCATGATGCCTCGACAGTTGCTGTGATAGCCTCCAAGGAGCCCGTCATCATTGGCGAGGCACCTCCTGCAGACTCTCCCTTTCCGAACGCGAGGCGCATGTTCGTTAACGGGACTTTTGATTATAAAGGCCCTGCACGCCTTCAACCTAGCTCTGCCGCAACCAGGAAGAAGAAGTCGAAGGTCCCCTCATCTCGTACACAGACTGATGGCGACACAGATATCGCAGCTATGGACTCTACGACTGCCATGCACCGCAAAACCAAAATGCGTCCTGAAGTACTTATACCTCCTCCATCACGTCCATTCAAGCTTGCGAAGCGCCCCCCTGCCAAACCGGTTGTGACAGAGGTTGACAAACCAGATGTGATAGAAGTCCGGTCCAGTCCAGATGGTGTTGACGAGCTTGATGATGATGATGAGGAGGAGGAGGAGCCTCTCAATGGTTCTGATCGCGAGATACCCAGTGAGGATGACGAGGACTATGATGATTTACGCTCGCGGAAGCGGAAGTTGAAGGCTGGAGGTGGTGCGCAAGCTACGAAGAAACGTGTACGATCGATCGAGGAGTCAGAAGGGAAGATGGTCATCGGGAAGAAGCCAAGTGCGAAGGCTGCTGGCAAAGCTCGCGCCAAAGGAGGGCACTCGTCTCCTGTCATGGTGGAATCCTCAGGGGACGAACAACAATCACGTCCTGCTATAGGTGAGTCTTCTATGATTATCGCAGTTCGGCTGTGATCCTGACTTATGACTATACAGACAATGCAGCAAAGCGCATTCGCGATGGACCTCCTGATGTTCAAAAAGGTATTTGCTACTCATACATGTTAAAACATACTAACACGAGCCCAGTGCCACGTCCACGTCCCGTGCCTAAGGGAAGGCAACCTGTTCTGACCAAGGCCATGCGTCTCCTGCAAGAAGACGAAGACTTGCGGAACAACGATGGAGCCATACACCCCGAGACCTCTGCGGATCATTCATCAGAAACACCTACTCTTCCGGCAGTTCCATCTCCCGCACACGACTCAGATCACCCTGCAGAGCCTGCACCAGATGATGGGCAGTCTGTCCTTGTCCCAGACGCCCCTCTCCCACTACCTCAAAATCTGCTGCACTCGTCATCGGAGGACACGCGTCTCAGCCCCTCACTTTCTGGCCACAATGTACCAGACTCTCACCATGCTGACCCACGCGGGGCAGACAACACACACTTGCGCGAGCCTCACGACAATTGGCGTCCTCACAATCGCGGTCAATCATGGGAGGCTCGTAACGCAAACGACATCCATGACCTCCCACTCAATGATGGCCGTGACCTGCACCCTCGCCGAGACAACTCTCCTGCACTACTTGATGACCGTCGCCACCCCCAACGATGATCCACGCAGTGCGTACATGTACCACGAGGACTTAGACCGACATGCGTATACCAGACGACCACAACCAGGAGGAGACTACCCTTATCACAGGGAGTATCCGTATTACGGCGACCGGAGCACAGGCTATCGTGATGCCACCGGGTATGGGCGATCATACTATCGTGATGCGCGGTACCCAGACCACGACGCACGGTACCCAGATCGTGATGCGCGGTACCCAGACCGTGAACTTCTTGATGACCGCTTGCGTGGACCTCCCCCACTGGATATTCGTGGAGAATACATGCATCCCACAAATCGCGAGGGTCATGCTGGCTACGAGCGTGCATATCAGCGCCAGCCTCCTCGAGGAGATGGACGCCACAGTACCCGGAGTCCCATTGCCAATATGTCACTCACCTTACCTGGTCAGGTGACAGAGCAAGAACAACGTGAAGGAGCCGCCATTCGAAGGTAATTGTGAGGTGCCTATTGTCTTGCTGCGAAAATCATGCTGTTCCCGCTGTCTTCCCCTCGTACCATACCATGTTCCATCTCTCGCAATGTATGTTTTGTGCCGCTGAAAATAAACATGTTGTTTGTTGACTTATTACATGAGTGATCTCCTTGGGTGAAATGAGTCAAATATAAGTGCTTAATTGTTGGGCGCATCGTGCAGGGAATAGTATTATGACATACGAATATAGTAAAAAAACATACACACGAGTATCTACTATCAAGGAGCGCTTAGAGGTGCAGAGGAGGGTGGACGAGGGTGAGGAGGCTATGTAGAGGTCTCGCAGAAGCCTCTACTAGGGGAGGGCCAAGAGGAGGAACGGGAGCACTGAGACTGACAGAGGCTATGTAGAGGTCTCGCAGAAGCCTCTACTAGGGGAGGGCCAAGAGGGGGAGCGGGAGCACCGAGACTGACAACAGAGGTTACACGAGGGGAGAGGTACTCACAATACTCAGAGAGGTCTCATGACCTCGCGAGAGGGGGGGTCTCACAGACCAGTTGCGCTCTACAAGGAAACCGGGTCTCTTAGACCCTGGGAACGGGAGGAAAGTGGTGCCAAGGGTGGCGCAGACCATGATATTCTGACATCCCTACTTTAATCAGATCGCACTGGCTTTATCGTGTAAAGCAAAAGAGGACGCAAGAGGGAGTTGTGAAACCCCAGATGGCTGATAATGTGTCATATCGGCAAGACCGCCTGTCCACCATCATCTTCAATCTGTGCCGCAGGAAAGGAGTGCCGAATCATGTGTGAAGGGTAGAAGTAGGGTGTCGACATCCTGGAGGCCACTAGTGAACTGATTGGGGGCCGATCATCTGATTGAACCAAGCCATTGCTGACTACCGTGACTGTCAGATAGTCATGTCGTCGTCCGCAATCGTCTGTGCTGAAGCATGATTTAACGATATGGAGTATGATGGTTTTCAAAAAACTTACGGCTCGAGTACTTCCATCCATCACGGATGCGCATGGCAAGGATATGCGATGTGCTGAGCGGGAACTAAAGAGCACTTGACAAAGTATCACTAAGGTACCCGTTGTCTGAAGACAAAAAACTGTGCAATCATCCATCTGGGCCAAACATGTGGAACGCGATACGAAAGTTCTGTGAAGCAGGAAAGTGAAAGCAGCGTGTCTAAGCTCAGACGGCTAATAGCCCCAAGGATTTCACAGTCATCGAATCCATTCGAGAACTATCATCTATCAGAGCATAACGAAGAAAGGAGGAGAAGGAGACACAACCACTTTGACATCTGAACTTGACGTGGGCGAATGTGGAAATCATGATTGTGAAAATGAATAAAGTGCGAGGGAAATAGCGGATGGGGTACGAGGAACTGGAAAGAAGGAATAGCATTGAATTGATGGCAGTGATTCGTGAAACAGGCGAGTGAAAGCCATAAGACAACTTGAATGAGTCCGCTTCCTGGTCAACCGGTCATCACTGTATTACCTATCTGGGTTGTTCGTATGAATGCAGTGCGAGGTGCTGGGTCGCGAAGAGTAAGAGTATATCGTAGAGGAAAGTTCATGGAAAATGCTGTAGTACCTTGTGTTGATGAGGTCACCTAGATACGACTAGTCTTGTGACAGCGACGAACGCAAAATGTGGCGGTTGAAGACGACACTAATGGGCCCTTTGTCCCAAGTAGACTCATTTGCACAGGAAGTAATTACGTGCAAACGGGCAGAGAGGGTGTGAGTGTGATGGCGATGGCGATGGTAGATGATCAGAGGGCGCGGGCAGGGTTGCTGTTGACATTGCATACATAAGACACTCTAAATAGGGACCCAGGTGCGGATAACGACTGTCTTCCTTCTCTTTTGGTCTGACTAGTACATGGTAGACTGGTGACCAGCCCCTCTATGAGACAAACCCTCGATAGAGGGACTGGTAAATCTGGGTTTGAATTTGGATAGTGCGCGCTTTGGAGTAATCACATGACTGAAAAGCCTTTTCGGGAGTTAGATAAGTCTTTGCTAAGTTCTCGATTACATACCGAACGTGTCAACATTGCTCGTCGACTCCGGCAGCGATCAGCTCTGTTCCACTGGCCGCTGCAGGGCAGCGTCACGTTGCACTCGGACAGCCCTATTTATGATTTGAATTCAAACTTCGGCTTCTTCTGAGATAGTACTGGTCCTAAGCGCCTGTTCTTAAGGGGAAAATGTCTCAAGGATGGTCCTGGGATGACGGGGACCTCTCGATGCTGATTGATACTGATCTGGAGACATTTCAGAGGTGAAATCGTCACACTGATAGCGTCCGGACGAAATAGATTAGGAATTATGAGACACAAGGTCTTTCCGCAGCCTGTACCGGCTGTAATTATGCTGTCACCGCCATTCAATGTTGCAAGAATGGCTTCTAGCTGGAATACTTGTGGAACAATGGTTGTAGCCGTGAGGATGTACACGAGCAGGCAAGCGCGTAACACATCCGTCTTATCCTTGTCACTGAGGGTTTCGATATAGTCGGTAGGGAGCCGTTCTTGCCATATTAGCGAACAAGCAAATGAATCTAGTCTTTCCATCGAGGCTTCCCGCACAGCTTGGATGATAGAGTTCACGTCCATTGGAGTTGTAGAGTAGATACATACATTAATGACGCGACCGCGTTTGCATCGCATCAATATGAATCAAACATTAATTTCAACATTTCAAATATTCACGTCGAAAATTTCAGTTTTCTTATCGGCTACAGGTCATGTGATTACTCCAAAGCGCGCACTATCCAAATTCAAACCCAGATTTACCAGTCCCTCTATTGAGGGTTTGTCTCATAGAGGGGCTGGTCACCAGTCTAAGTACATGGTAGAACAGCAAAATATACAATGATTAAGGCACAGTTCGGGGAGCGATTACGCCTAGGGGCCGAGAGAGTGCACATGTGCAATTATGTCACATTTTCTCATGTACTTGTACTCGATTCACATTTGCAATACTTAAGGGATGCTCAATTCTAAAATATCGAGTTCAGTTCGTTTCATTTGACATTATTTATGTAGTAACAACATTGATTACCGACACTTACTGCCAGTTGTTACGGTATTCCCAGGGCCAGAAGCCGGCCGTCGCTCAGCAAGTTGTGAACCACGCGTTATCATTGTTGATCAATGTTCAACGTTTCGAAACGACTGTGATCGACATGCAGTGACAACGACAGGACAACTCACATTGAATGCTGTTCTAAACAGTACACTGGCCATAGCTAGGCACAATCAGGAGGCTTATAAGCAGATTTTCTCTCCAGACAATCAAGATCTCGAGGACAATGATCACGACCAACAACTCACAATATTTCCATAGGATGGGTGCAGGCTTTCGCGCTATCTCCTTCATTACATCTGAACCTATTCCTCGTGGCCCCTACCACCAGTGGCAAAAGTGCCAAGAGTTCTTCGACTTATCATTGAGTTGGCCTGATCGTGATTTTCGTCATGCTGGACTTGGTTCTGAAACCGGCAGGGAAGGTGTTGTCTGTCACTGTCAGCATGGTAGTTCATTAATCATTGCTGACTCTGAGAATGTTAACCAGTATGTTTGACTGGGAGACAGGTCTCTGTCAGGCCTTTTTCCGGCCTCGGAACTAATTTACAGAGCTGAAATGAAACTGTTTACTACATAAATAACGTCAAATGAAATGAACTGAACTCGACATTTTAGAATTGAGCATCCCTTTACTTTGACCGATCAAGGATCTGGAAACCCCAGGCGATGTTTTTGGCAGGTAATCGTGCTTTTAGGTGCGTGATTGGCAGGCAAAATCACGGTCGAAACGTGACCTGGTGTCATATACCATATATCCGGTTACAAATCCGATGATCCGGATCTCAGATCCGATCCAGATCCGATGAACATATCCGTCGTCCGGTCCACAGATCCGCTTTGATTCTTATTTCATTTCCTGTTCATATAACTCTAACTATCGTTCATCTCCTTTCGGTATTCCTGTACACCGGTATACCGGTTATCCTTTACTTCCGCTTTGCTTACTGATCCGCTATGCTTACTGATCTGCTACACTTATGAATCCGCTTTTACTTGTACTTCATTCCCGGTTCATGATTCGTGATCCATCCGACTTACCAATACGCTCCACTTAGACTTTGCTTATACTTTCGTACATAGCCTTGCACCTTTGCTTATTGATCATTCCGTTAGCTATCCGTAGTATATAAACCTTTGTATATGCGCTGTAGTAGATCAGTTCGAATATCATCTTAGATTGCACTCATTCCGTCTGGACTCTAAGTCCCTCCGTTATCCGTCCAGACTTGAGTACACTACTCTTGTCTATTCCGAGACTTAGGATAGATTCCTATAGTCTACATATCCGCCTCTGTCTTCGGACGGTCCTTGCCCATTAGTTTCTAGTCCGGATCCAATCCGGATTAGCCGTTACTCTATACGTTCGATATCCGGAAGTCTTAACGGATCCGTTGCAATACTTATCCGTTGCGATACAAGACTTATCCGTTACGATACTTATCCGTCTCACTAGACGCGATACTTTAGCTCTCTGAAATACGGGGCAAGACTCGGGAAAGGGGCACAGTGCACGAGCTGAGGCCGAAGCCCTTCGGATCCGATACTACTTGAGTACGGTCTTAACACCTGGCTGTTTCCCCAGGAATCGACCAGAAATGTCCTTTTTGGGAAGGGAATCCCGCCCTAGGACAAAACACCCGCCACCGTCTCCCTCGTCATTCACCAGGTCGACGACTTCATGGCTCACACGAATCACATCTTTCTCACTTCTCATGGACGCCCATCCAATGGCCGTCGGCGCCAGTACTACTACTGGCTCTGATGCTGTCATCGACCTGGACTTGCTTGCGCTGTCCAATCACAGCGCACCATCACCAATACCCACCAGACTTGGCAACTCAACCCCCCAAAGTGGTGAGTGCCCTGCTTTCCCTGACAAGCGCTCGCTGACTCATGCCAGCAGGAGGACTTGGGCCCATACGAAGTCCTCACTCTTCCCATTGACGAGGTGAGTTTGATTTTTCTTTAAACATATTGCATTATGTACACTACACTAACAAACTACTGTGTCCCAGGGAATCCTCCGTATGCAGTACCATTGCATGCCGGAGGCAATGGCACTACAAGGTCCATGACTCAGACTCCTTGTCACTGACAAAGTGTGTGTAGTGACGCTGATGCTCCCTTCCTGCAGCAAAACCCTCACCGTGAAGCAGCTGCAAGTGCTGTGCCGTGAGCATGGGTTGAATACGCGAGGGAAAAAGGCGGACCTGATTGAGCGCCTCGCTGCCGCAGTGCCTCCGAGTCCAAAGTATGTTGGGCGTGTTTTTCCCTATGTGATTCTCACTGGTTTTGGCATTCTGTCTGCAGTACAGTGCCTCCTACCACCACACCCACCATCCCAGAAGCCAGTTCTCCATCCTCGGTGCTGCTCCCAGCTGTGAATTCCCGCGTGCCGGCAGGCCATGCACCCATGCACCCACAAGCCTGTCCCCCAGGATCTGGAGATGACGTCGATCTGCTTGCGTCGCGTGACACAAGCCAGCTGGCCTGTTCCTTCCAGGATGCCTACAATGGCAGTGATGGGGGCATCATGGACGACGACATGGACGACGATGGTGCTCACATGGCTGGAAATGTTCAGGATGATGAGGAACTGGTGGTGTAAGCAAGCGGTGAGTTTCCGTATGTGTAATAATTGATGCTTGCTGATCATCTCTCGTACTAACAGGCCCGTGTTTGGTGGCCATCAATGATGCTAAAGCTTGGGTAAGTTGCACGCCCTTCTGAGCTCCATGTCCTGGCTGATGGTGCCACGAGGTGGATGAATTCATCATGATCACCCGACGAAAGGGTGGACAGCAAACGGAGAAGAGTGTGCTCAACATTTGGAAGGTATTTCTTGGTTCCTCTCCTTATTTTTTGGCTGCAACAATTGAACGATCCCGAAAAACAGCGCTGGTTGACTGCTGCAATTGCATCAGGTGAAGTCCCAGATATGATAATTGATGCACACCCCATCATCCAGTACTTGAAGTACACTGCTACCCGCAAGCTCCTCTCGCGAAACGGCCATGAACGTGATTCTGCGCATGGGTCCCTCTCTGTGGTGAGCTTTGAACCTTGTGTCGTGTGCGCACGCACTTGTGCTGATCTCCTCTGGGTGCCACCTCAAGAGCTCGCTCAAGAAAACCATGGCAATGCTTGGTCGTGTCTGACGCCGTCAGGTTGACGACAGCCTATCTCTCGAGCATGCACGTCCCGCATTCACACCACGTATCTCTGACTTTTATAAAGCACTGATGGTTTAAGCGCAGCGCCTCCATCTCGAGTATGTCCAAGGCACAATTTTGATAATATTTTTGGGCTGATTCGTGTTCTGTCCAGGCGTGAAGACTTTGACATCACCGAAAACACAATCCTCGACTCACACCTTTTTCCAGAGCACTTCGAACAAGTCAAGAAATTATTCATGCACCTCACGCAGTGTGAGTTGGTCTTTCGAGTGCTGTCAGCTCAATCACTCACTTATGGCCATCTTTACAGTGGCTCAAAAAAGTGTCTCAATGTTTGTGGCTTTTCATGTAATTGCTTTCTTATGAGTCAGGACGTGAAAATATGACTAAGCCATAGGGAGGGGTAGAAAAGCTCTGTTTCTTCGCTTTAATTCCGTTCCCTACAGCGTGGGAAGCTGATGTCATCAAGTGAAGATATGGTCATTTTAATATGGTGACTCATTGAGACACTTTTTGACTTTGTATTTTACCAATGCTATTGTATGATTCTAGTACTTTGCGTTACCCCCCTTGGCTTTAATAACTGCTGCTACCCTCCTAGGCATACTTTCTATTAATTTCTGACACTCCTCCTTAGTAATCTTTCTCCACTCTACTACAACTCTCTCCCATAGTTCAAATAGCCCCTTTGGAGGATCTTGATAGGCAGCAAGTAGTCTTTTGAGTAATTCCCAAAGATGTTCAATGGGATTGAGGTCTGGAGACTGTACTGGCCATGATAGAACATTGATATTATGGTCTTCAAACCATTTTGTAGCCAGTCTTGAGGCATGCTTTGGATCATTGTCCTGCTGGAAGATGATGTCCTCTTCATCAATACCTGACTCCTTGATGCTTCTAAGCAGACACTCCTCTAGAATGGAGACATACTGCTCTGCATTCATCCTCCCCTCCACCTCACACAGAATCCTCACTCCGTTCCATCCCATGTAGCCCCACACCATCAAGTTTCCTCCTCCAAACTTGAGTGTACCTTTCACTTCTCTGTCTCCTAGTGGATCACCTGCCTTTTTCCACACATATTCCTGACCATCTGACCAAATAACTCTTTTCCAGTCCTCAACAGTCCAGTGTTGGTGCTTCAGAGCAAAGGCTAGTCTCTTCTTCCTATGAGTTGGTGAAAGAAGAGGTTTCTTCTTCTTGGTTACAGCTTTCAGGTTAGCTGCCTTGAGAGTGTTTCTGACTGTTTGGGTGGAAACAGTGGAGGGGATGATAGAATTGATGAATTTGGTGGCTTGAACAGCATTTGAAGCTTCTCCAGATAGAATACAGTGAACAATAGCCCTCTTATCATGGGGGGTGAGCTTGGAAGGACGGCTCATATTGATATTTTCTTTATTTGGATTAGATTTCTTGATGACCCTAGTAATAGTAGCCCTGCTTAAACCAGTTTTGGAAGCAATCTGCCTAGTAGATAGACCAGAGAAGCTGAGAACAATGATATTATCCTGTTGAGTAGAGGAGATAGACTTCATGAGGATTATGGAGAATTTCATGCTCTAGCTTGCACTTATATAGATGTCAGATATTAAAGTCAGACCATATTATTGACATGACACCATTTCTTTAGATATTTAGTCATAACATTTTGTCTAGGTGACCTGATTTTGCTAAATTTTTATAATGTCAAAAAAGTGTCTCAATGAGTCACTAAATTAAAATAACCATATCTTCACTTGATGACATCAGCTTTCCACGCTGTAGGGAACGGAATTAAAGTGAAGAAACAGAGCTTTTCTACCCCTCCCTATGGCTTAGTCATATTCTCATGTCCTGACTCACAAGAAAGCAATTACATGAAAAGCCACAAACATTGAGACACTTTTTGAGCCACTGTATGTCTCTTGCAGTGCCATCTATCATCAAGGGTCATCAATGCTGGACTTGGCAGTGTACGACACTCAATCGTGGTGATGAGCTGGTCAATCTGCCGCTCTCGTGCATCCAGCCTTACAAGATCTTCATCCCAGACTATACAACAGCTGATGGGAGAAGGAGCGGCAGCGGACAGTTTTTTTTTGGTGTTTTGTCATTGTACCATGAGACCAAGGTTGCAAAACCTGGCGTGAGCATCTGATCTTCCCGCACTGAGCCCTTTTTTACACTTGCTATGTGATTTTCTACCTGTAGAAGCAGGAACCAGAATACAACTTTGTGCTCCCACACAGAGACCCGCTCAAGTGCCCGATCGGGGCGCTTGCCATCTTGCTTCACTATCAGTTCGACCAGGAGGGCCTGATGGACAAGTTCGAGGGCTGGGACTGGTCCCATCCCAGCTCAGTGGCGTGAGGTCAGGGCAGAGTGCAACTTAGTGATTCGTGTCTCAAGCGAGTTTGATACAGGTCAAGCTCTTGTTTGGAAAGCATGTCGGACAGCCATCCAGCGGTGATGCACTGCAGAAGATGTATACAACAATGTTAGAGCCCACGACCATCACATCGAAAAAGAAGCTTCACCTCGCCCGCCAAACGATGCTGAGTGTGATGGAGGACATGGGGTGGGTCAATTGTTTGTTGGTCTGACCTGCAGCTGATAGTATTACCCGAAGTGTACACGCGGATGAAGTTGATGCTGTTGGGCACTGGGAGGGAAACACACAGCACAAAACCTATGCGGCAAAGATTCCGAAATCTGTAGGCAGTCCTGCATTCTCTTTGCTATGTTCTCACTCATGAACATCCTGTCAAGGCTGTCTGTGCTCTCGCTGGCTTCTACATGGGAGAACAGTATTGTGTTCCATGGGTCTCGACACAGGTGCCTGCAGAGCTGCAGATGCAGATTTTTCCGTTTGTCGAGGATGCTCTTGCCAACCTCCACCAGGCACCTAATCTGAACTATGGCACCGTGAATTTTCTGGAGTTGTTGCAGCTTCTGCGTCCCTATTTTTGGCGTGTAAGTGGGGAATATCCACCTGTGAAAACTTTGATTCTGACGGAGTCGCACGGCACACATCACACAGGCAATCGCTGCCGTTCATCAAGCATTCCCTGGCTCTGCACTTCTGAAACGGCTGAAGGTCCTTCAGTCTGGCAGTGCCCAAGGCATTTTCGGCAATGGCCCAAGGAAAGGGAAGCTCTTGAGGTGATGGCGCAGTCAGACCTTACAATCTGCGGTACATTTTCGGAGGCTGCCACTCAAAGTGCCTTTGTATCCCTCGCAAACTGTCAGCGCCAGTCGGACACCACAATCAATGCTGTGCTCTTGCACTGCAGTCAACTCCTTCGGTGAACAGAATCACTCTCTCCAACTAAGCACTCCAACACGACATCCTCAATGGCCCCCCAGTCCCTGCCTCAAGGGCCATCTGGGCCAAGCACCAACAAATCTGATCTCACTGAGGTTCATCCAGCAGCAACAAAAGCAGGATGTAGTCCTGGTCAGGCTCCGAGTCTTCCACTGCCTTCGGAGTTGCAGGCTGAGTGCAGCAAAGCCACACCTTTGCAGCACCTGCAGCCCACTGGCAACTTGAACCCAGTAACCACCTTCCACCTTGGCTGCTCCTTCCACATATTGCCACTCTCGCCAACAGTTCCTCCCGACTTCCATTCTGGGCATGATCTCATCATTCCGTCGGCCGAGGCATTCCACGACTCAATCACTAGTACCTCTATGCCTCAGTACCCTCAGTTCACACCTCGCAACTGCAGCTGGACTGCCATCTTTGAGATGGTGAAGCAGCCACACTTTCTTTGGGCTTGCTGGCATCCTGGCAACCTGGGTGAGTATCGTTCGATCAAGCAGCTCTGGGCCACTTGGCATGAGGGCACAATCATTGACAGTGTTGGTCAAATGCCTCCCCTCCTGCTCGTCAAGCAGGAGTGGGGAGGAACAAAGAACCCCTCGACTCGCAAAGGGCGCCATCAGACTTGGCGACCACATAATGATACCAATGCAAGTGCTGCTGTCACTCAACTTCAGCCAAAGAAGACTCGGATGGGACATACTACAGCAGAAGGCTCATTGCCGTCCAACTCTGCAAGCCCAACATGAGGTCACACCATGGCCTGTTCACTTTCTCTCTCGTTTCTCTGTGTTTTGTTTTAGTTTGGCTGACTTCAGGCTTTCTGAAACCTCCTTTCTGCCTTTAATATCTCCCTCATAATCACCAGTTATCATGCATAGCCTGCATTGCTCAGTAGTTGCACAACTCTACACGCTAATTTTGTTCGTGTCTACGTTCCGTATGACAGCCCTCGTGCACTTAAAAGAAGAGTCCCAGCTGCAACCAGCCAGGCCTTAAGAAGATTTGAGGCTTTCACCCCCATGGCTCAGACTCTGTCCAACTAACCATCCAACCAGCCGGGCCTTAAAAAGATTCGAGGCTTACTACTCCGTCAAACCACCTGTCAGTCAGCCAACCAGGCCTCAAACAGATTCGAGGGCTTGAGGGCTCGAGAGCCCTGGCCACCAGCCCAGTACAATGTTTGGCAAGAGTGGTGGCTGGAAACGCCTGAGGAGAAGTGTTGTCCTGCCCACCAAAAAATTGTGACTGAAACCGTGATCCTCTCCACGCAGACTGTGATTCTCCTCATTTGAAACCATGATTGGGGGAGGAAAAGTGTGATTCGGCGCTCGCTGAGGACAAAAAGTGTGATCCCGCCTGTGTGATCCAGGTCGGAGCTCAAATCATGATCATGCTTTTTCGCCTGAGAACTTCAGATCTTCATTTGGTATTGGAAATGAGTTGCCAAAATCACCAACGAGTGGATCTTTCCTGATATTCACGTGCGTGATATTGGTTTACCATTCAAAGGACTTCCATTTTTTGCTCATTTCACACTGCAATACTTACTTCAACTAATCAAGGGTCTTGAAGCAGGATCAAATATCCATCTCCATCATGTCCATTTTAGTGATACAAGCGCTGAATGGTGATATATCTAGCACGAACACTACATCATTATAACCCCCAACATATCGCACTCGCTCTCACCCATCTATCGAATATGACCGTAGTCCTCAATGATCCCAGTTTGTGGCCGATAATCAGTTTAAATATTTTTTTCAGCTATTGGATGGGTTCATCACATCAATCAGTGATGTCTCGATCTAACATTAAAATACGGTTTCACAATTGCTGGCGGCGTCATGGTGGTATACGATTGGGGTGAGCAGCACAGTGTTCGAAAACCGCTCATATTCTCATCATATTTCCAGTCCTAACACTTGGACAAGAGGTATGTCAGTGCTATTACCGGAGTAGCCAACTTGCTAAGAATGGTGTCATAGATTGAACTGATCTGGGTGAGTGACACAGTCTCATATCCGAGTCAGAAGAAATGAATACAATAAATTCGCGACAGAGGCAACGCTGGTCTCTCATGACTGTAATGTATTTGCTTGTTCGTAACTCAGATTATGCTATAGCGTGGTTGACAAGTTGTGCTGACTTCAAAATGTTCTATATACGCTATATTGGAATACCATATTCTGTGTATGTGTTTGAGGTCAACAAGTTGGCACTATATTAATAGCCCATCTCTCATTATCAGTATCGCCGTTCTGCGTATGTCTCATATGCACTATATTCGATTATTCTGACCCACAGCACACAGTAAATATGCCATTGGTCTCCCTGACAGATGCAGTGAGTACTCTGCAATCATCTCATTCCTATCCAATGAATACACTCATATCTAGGAGTGAGTGAGATTCTGACCATTGAACTTGCCTCGACATAATGACTCGACAGGTGTGAGTCACAGCATTTGGTCCTACTACAAGGGTGATCACTAATCGGGTGTTTCAGGCAATATTATGAACTACGCAAGTAATGGGACAAACGTGGTCGTAACTGCCATGCTGGGCGGTGCGCTGCAATACCTCAGTGATATTGACTCGACTGAAATACAATGCAAGTCATCATGATTGCTCGCTTGCATGCCATGTATCAGAGATCTAGGAGGATGCTTATCTTCCTTGTTGTCATCTGTCTGGCTGTTAACGTCACCTGCGGAGTACTCGCGGCAATAGCACTCGAGGATATTGTAGGGGGTAAGCTTTACTTGTTGACTTGAAAAACACCGCTCATTGGACAACTACCAGAGGAGCTGATACTCTCTAGAATGTATATGTGCGACTTTGAATATGTGGGGGATGTCCAGCTTCTGATTTCAATGGTTTGGATGCTCAACACTGTTTGGGAGGTCCTTGCACTGTGTCTTTCAGTCTGGATTGCTATGAAACATTTCCATGACCTGCGACGACTTGGCCCATCGACAGGATTGACCATAGGGGACTGTTTCAGAGTCCTGATAAAATCTCACGTGCTTTATTTGGCAAGGTGAGCTTGTAATGTAAATGTGGCCATCATTTTCAGCTCAAGTTTCACATGTGCTAGCTTTTTGCGTGTCTTGCCTCGAGTTAGTTATTAGTCTCTCTCCAGGGCTTCAGGTGCACCGACCTATCGCTGACATCTGGATGCAACCACTGCTCATCATTTCTGTAGAGGTCAAATTCTTTGGGAGTTTATATACTCGAGGGTGCTGTTGGAATTTTATTCAACATGCAGATATTTGTGTTGGACCACGCCTTATCCTTAGTGTTCGAGAGTATCACGCTAAGCTCGTGGCCAATTCCAACGCAGAAAACTAGCATGAATTCGATTGTCTTCCAGGAGCATGTACAAATATCAACTAGCAGTACTGTGTAGGGAAATGCTTGCCGAGTGTTCTGCAGGGAGAAGAAATGTGGTCAAGGATCTGTCGTGATATTTATTCAAGTTATGCTGTTTCAAAGTGTATTTAAGATGAGGCTCATGTAGACAAAACCCGTTTCGTGTTGTATCACTACTGGAAGATAGTGAACTGCCCGCCCTCACTTGCACCTAGTGGCAAGCTGACATTATCTGCTGGAACATCTAGCAGCCAACCCCGTCTTTGAGGCCCAGACAGCTGATTCTACGTGTTTGCGGAGTTCTGCTGTCTGAGCACACACATGATAAAAAAGTGAACCGAGAGGCATGTGCATGAACCCCGGATGGCTGTAACTCATTGGTGCTCAGAGGTGTATCCATCCATCTGGGCCACAGTGAAGGAACAGGAATGAATCGCGCGGACTTGTGGTTCGACTGTACGCCTCTATCATGAATGAGCATGGCAAAGAGATGAGGTGTGCTGAGCAGGCAGTAGAGAATTAGAGAATCGGGGCTTACTATTAATGAGACATCGACCACAATATTTTGATATTGCATCTATACATACATTCATCGGACCCGCACCATTGTAGTGTTTCACCACAGCGACTGCAAATTGTGCATCGGGTTTGCATCCTTGCGATGATCTGTTGAAGCCCATCCTGTTAAGCAAGACCGTCAGATTAAAATGTTGGGTTGATACTAGGAGTTAATTGGGTTAATTGGGGGTCACCAAACTTTTAATTGTTATCATCAGTCTCTCTGATTCTCTCTGTGCCAGCGTCCTGGGACTGTATTACCTCTCCAAGCCGCTCCAATGGGTAGGGAGAAGTCCTGGCTGTGGGATCATTTTCATCAGGGGACTGCGAAGGTTGACAAAGTGCACTGGCAAGCACAATGTAAATATTGTGTCAATGTGAAGGCTAAAGATCTCGCAAATGCTGATCAACAGGCTGTTGCACACGGAATACTGCAGGCTGTCAGAACTTTCACAATTTTGACGCAGGAAAGTGAGTTTTTGTCAATTGATGCCATGATGATGTAACATAAATGATTAATGTATACCGTATAATGGACTCAAACAGCATGCGATAATGTCCCTTATATTGCCAGAAAGGTCGAAATCATGGCAAAAGGAATACATATTGGGGTTAGGACAAGTAGTTGAGGTTGAGGATGACATCTCAGGCATTTCGGATTCAGAGGCAGTGACAAATTCATTGCTTCTTCAGTCAGAAGAGAATGTTTCACATCCACGACATGTTCAACATCAGGAAAAATCTCCCCTACTAATTTCATCTAATCATAAGCAATTCTCAATAATTAAGAAAATTCAAGATATTTAGTGTTTTTAGGAGATTAGATGGATTATGTTACCCCCCTGATAATCCGTCAATAATTGTCAGTCATTCCGATAATTTGAAGGTATTTGGAAGAATGTCTGTCTCATTGTCTTAAGATGCTCGAGAGATTATGGTTGGTTCTGGTCAAGATCAGGCTAGTATTAGGATCACAATCATGCTGAGTATTACAAGAAAGAAAATTATGCATTTGATTAAATCAGGGTATCTAATGGGTAATATCATATAACGACTGTTGAGTGGATGAGTGCTAGTACAAGATCAGGCAATAAGTATAGAAGATGCTAAGTAGGCAAATGATCCATGCTAGTCGTCATCCATCCCATCAAGGTCAAGCAGGTCGAAGGCTGCATCTTGCTCCGCAGTATGCTCTGCGCCACCAGCGCACTTCAAACACCTGTGGGTCCAAATCAATATGCAACACACAACTTCGATTGAAGTAAAACTCACTGTACAGCCTCGTAGATGTCAGCCATCATGTGATGAAACTTCCTCGGCACTGTGTCCTTCAAATTCTGTAGGAACTTGACGTGAAAAAGTAGGTTTCACTGAACTGATTACCCACCTCAGGCATTAGTTCTCGGTATCAATAAAGGTCTCTTAGACGGTATTATTATGTAGGCGTTATATAGTCTCGCAGACCCAACCTCATGGATGTTCTATATATAGCACACACATAATATGCCTTGCGACCTCTTGCGACCCTCCCCAGCACCTCCCTTGGACCTCCGCACGTCCCCATTTACCTTGTATATACCTCTACAATGTTTGCCAATATCTCGTCCCATCCTGTCGAGCCTCTGGATAGGCTCCATGCATATGGTGCACCCATCAGATCTGGCAGACCTCTACTATGCTCTGCAGCTGCTTGTCGTTTTTGTTTCCTAAGTTCTTTTCGTTGCCTCTTGTTCTACACCACTACGTCCATCACCATGCCACCTGTCCGCCACACACGTGGCACTCAACCGACATCTATGGGGCTAGGACACCACTTCGCAAGCCCAAAGAAAGCCCGATGTTCATATTCCCAGCGTCAACTCCAAGCATCAGCGCCTCCTCGACCAAATGGCTGCATTGATGCAGCCCCAAGTTTCAACCACTGAAACCCCCACCTCTACTGAATCTCAAGCCCTGATAGATATTAAGCACACCGCTGGTCACATTGACGATACGCTAAATTACAACTACGATGATAACAATTACATCGCCGATGAGGTAGCCCAGCCTGATCAAGTAGCATCTTGCCCTACAAATGTGCCTAAGGTAGACCTTGGGCGTCGCCGTCTCTTGCCCAACAAGATGGCAAACAATCTATATAACGCTTGGAAAGTGCTTATCCTGACCCTGGTAGATCCTCATCTCAAATATTCTACAAGGACATGGGTCTGCTCTTCCAGAAGTCCATCCGGTCATATCCGCTTGCGCAAGCCATACTAGTTGTACACATCGACAATTTTCCATAGTTTGTCTTTTTTTTTGACTGTAAGTAGTCTGTTCCTCATCTGCCGCCTTAATTGACAATTCCAGGTTTCCTTTATATTGATGTATTGGCCTGCCGATGTTCAACACTTTCGCAAGTCTTCCTTTACCATGGCCTCTTTCCTACTGCTCCCTCCCAACCACACATGGCTGTTTCTACAGACCTACTCGCATTCTATTGTGCTTTGTTCGAGCATTCATGTGATGCTATCCATGCACTTGCACATGCCCTAAAGACCCATTATGCCCGCAGAGGCTTTCTCATGACCAATGCAGATGTGAGTTTTGACTTTTCAGGCTTTCAGATAATCACTCATTAAAACACAGGGCCAACTTATTCAAGAACCATTTCGTTGTGGACTTGGCCAAGCTGTCCAGTGGTTCGACATCCTCCAGATTGAGGTCGAATGGCAGACTGAAGCGACACTTCAAATTTGTCGCAAACAAGTGTATGAGGCCCGTAAACTTCAATCTCAAGAGAACCCTGGCGTAACCACCCCTATACAATCCAGTACAACATTGATCCAAGGCCAGTGTGCCTCCATTCTCACACAGAATTGCCCAGCCTGCTTTGGAGGTGTCCTTTTTGGTAGACCTCTTAGTGAAGGTGGCGACATACATGTTGCAACAGATGGCAATTTCCATCATCGACATCGACGATCTGCGGGTGACTGTCCACGCTTTCACGACCCCATATATTTTCTTTCCAAGGCTCAAGTGGACAACGTTGGGCGACACATCCTCTCGCAGCGTAAATGTGCACCAAGGATTTGCACTTCTTTAGTACCAGATGAGGCAATTGACCAATGCGAGCACTCATATGAGGCCGCAGATGGTAAGAAGCAGAAGGCTGTGATGGATTCCTTTGATGATACGGGCGTCATGGCCCTGATATGCCGTCACAATATCCCGCTCTTCTTCGCTAACATTGATTCACCTGGCAAGCAACAGAAATACGCCATAGCACTCATCGAGCATCTGTTTACTCTATTGCCGCAGGAAGCCACTGTCATTACCCTGTATGATGTTGGGTGTGTTCTCTCACGGTCATTATCTCAAGTAAGTGCTTCTTTAATAGATGCATTTTAACCTTATATCTATCTATATAGTATGATATTCTCCCCAAATCAGTGACTTCACGTCTTCAATTTGCAACCATGGCTATGCATCCATATGGCCACGAGTGGGCATGTCAGCTCGAGTATAACCCTTGCATGTGCAACGGTCTTGGCCTCTCAGATGGGGAGGGAACTGAAAGACTATGGTCAAGGTTTGTCAAATTAATTGGCATTCAAAGGTCATCATCAGTGAGTCGGTACTAGTACTCTGATTATTAATTGTTGACTGTAGTTCATGGATAGTGCCAGAAGTGTCTGTGGTTGATTGACCAGCAAGCAGGTGCCATTGGTCTTGAGATGCGAATAGATCTTGGCGATTGGATCAAATGGTGGCTCAAGCATGGAGTTAATGGTCAAGGTGCAGCGGCACAAGAAGTTTTGGATAATTGTGGTATTGAAGCTCAAGACCTTCAAGAACAGTGGGTGGATCAGAAGAAGTCCCAACTGTCCATTCATGCTCGTAAGTCCACGGGTGCCACTTCCATACTAAGATCAACATATCCCCGTTGACAGATGCTCCTGCATGACTGAAGAAGGAGCTTGACGTTGTCCTTACTTTGCAGGCTGATTTAGACACATTGGACAGGGCATTGCAACTCACACGGACCGTTGTAGAGATGGGCTTGGCTACTGAAGAAACCTTAGACGCTCTGGAGAGCCTCCAGCGCAGCCATGATCATTTGATGAGCAAGGTTGAAACATTATATCCCTCGCTCAACGTTCACGACAGATTTTCAGAACTACAGGGCGTTGATTTGGATTTTGTTTGAACCCTTCTGATGGCGTGCGATCTCAAAATAAATATCCGGAAGAGAGCAATAGGAAGCTTTTTTGAATGGGACAAACTTGACCGTGTGATTGGTGGTGCAAATCAGGCACTTGGTAATGTATAATCCTTCTGTTTTTGTGCCTCAGAATATTCACTCGTTCTACAAGGTACGAAGCTACATCAGCAGACACATAAGGCTATCGCTAAGCGCCAGCCGGCCTTGATGACAGCGATTCACAAGTTTAACTCCTATTGTGAGCATCTGGAGAGCATCTTTGACCCATCCTTGGGTGTCCCGCTTCCTACTCCTCTCCCTACTAAGCTCGCTGATCTTCGCAAAGATCAGATGCTGATGGAGGATGTTTGGATCACTCCATCTGTTGGAGATTTCCTTGCTGGATCGAAGACACTGATGTAAGAGATGGCATTCAAGCGTTGCTTAAATGGGAACGGTACCATGAAGAGCAGTGCCGCATTGGGCATGAAGCAGATAACCTTTGTCGATGGTTTGGAGCTGAGCTCACTGCGCTAGAACTCGCTCTCCGCTCTCCTACAAGTAAGCAATTTCATTTACATTGACGATCATTACTTATTTCACAAGATCATACATACGTGTTCCCACTCCAACAACGACGGGATCACCTTCTCCAGTTACAAAGTAAATGGGTCACCCCACTAGCATCTGCTACTCGTTTCAACAGCAGTGCTAACATGGCGGTCAATCTTGCTATTACGCTTTCCGAGAGCACGGGACCATCGCAAGCTGTCATGTACAGGCTTGTACCAACCTCACTGGCACTCGCAGACTCCCCCGAGGATGATACTGACGAACATATTGCCCCTGCACTCAAAGAGATTGCTGAAGAGGCTGTCCTCTTGGACATTTTACCTGACAATACCGCTAGTGATGATGAAGACGACGAACCCGTGGGATTACCTGAATTTACGATTAGCTGGCAGCTTCCAGAGGTATGTCCTCGTCTCTCCATAGGTAACTGTACTCATCCGGTATCATAGAATCTCACATATTGCAGTAACATATCTCTGTATTATACGAGTGAACGGACGTGCATAATATCCCGTATGATACGGGCCAGCGGACCATGGGCCGAAGGTAGATATATCCTCGACTGTGACGGATGGGCCGGGAGTGTTATTATTCCCGATGGAGACGGGTTGGCCCAGGTGGGGAATATGTAAAGTAGATGGGTGGGCTGATGGACATGAATTTTCAATAGATGGATCGGCCAAGGTAGTTGGATATTATGTAGATGGGTGTACCAAGGTAGATATGTATCAAATAGCCAGGTATATCAAGGGTGCTTGTTATCACATAGACAGGTGGGCCCAGATATATATCATATTAGACGGGTGGGCCGACGAATTAATATTATTTTGTAGACGGGTGGGCCGACGTATTGGTATTATTTTGTAGACGAGTGGGCCGAGGGAGCGGTGAAAGATTTATTATATACGGGTGGGCCAATGGTAGACATATATTGCATAGACGGGTAGGCCGACGTAGGGGTATATAATATAAACAGGTGGGCCCAGGAGAATGATAATTGTAGACATGATGGAGCTCAGCTAGTTGTATATCATGGAGGTAATAATTCAAAGTCATCTAATGATGTAGTATGGCACGGATCCTTGCAAAGGGGTGAAGTGGAAACTCGAGCGAAGTGTACCGAGTTCTGAGACCTGGGTCTCGACAAACAAATATGTGATGTCCAGCACACTTCCAATCGTCTGGTATTTCATTGAGCAATATATGATAATAGATCTTTGAAAGCCAACATCATCCAAGCCTGCCAAATGCCAAATGCCAAGTTCCAACTACCAAAAATCAAGTGAAGTGTACCGATATCCGAGCCCTGACTATCACATCCCGACAATCGACCATTGAGTCCCGACTACCGAGTCTTGAAACCCTGAGTCCCAAAGCCCGAGATTTGAGTCCTGAAACCCAATGCCCGACCATTGAATCCCAACAATCGAGTATCAAGTCCCGACCAACGAGTCCCAAATATTGAGTCCCGACCATCGAGACCCAACACCCGACACCCGAGATTCAAGACTCAAGTTCCGACTATGGAGTCCCAGATATTGAAAATCAAGTGAAGTGTACCGAGATCCGAGTCCAACCTGAAGGATTCCTTAGGCTGGACTTCCAAACCTTTGGATTTGTCCTTCCATCTCTATCCAAGCTTAAGGATTGATTCCTTAAGCTGGACCTTTGCCTTTCTGGCACTTCCTGTCTTTCCAAGACTTATGTCTACTTCCTATTATCTCCGACTCCACCTAAGTGTAGCCTACCTCTGTTTGCTTCTACTCCAGACCTTGTCCATGGTAGCCTTTATTCTCCTGTCCTATAATCCTGTCCACTCCTGCTGACCTCCGGACCTTTGGATCTCCGGACCTTTGGATCTCCGGACCTTTGGATCTCCGGACATCTTACTCTTCGGATATCAAAACCTTTGGACATTGTAACCTTTGGACATTGTAACCTTTGGACATTGTAACCTTTGGACATCATGACCTTCAGACATCATAACCTTTGGACATCTTAATCTTTGGACATCTGAACATTCAGATGGCACAGCCTTCAGACGTCCTGTCCTCTGGACCACTCCTCCTATCTGATCCTGCTTTGGACTCTGTCCCTTGCAGTCTCTCCTCCATGTGCTTCCATCTAGGAAGCTTACCTTCAGAAGTCTTATCTTCGGACCCTATGCAGCAGGTGAAACTCCTCCAGAGTTTCCTATACTTCTCTAGAAGTTCCTATACTCCTCCGGAAGGTTCCTGTGCTCATCCAGAAGTCCTCCAGCACTCCACCAGAGTAGCCAGCCTCCGGAAGTCCTTCGGACTTCATTGGATTTCATCTGGACTTCATTCTGAAATTAAGGGCATGTACTCGGGAAAGGTGCACAATACAATATACTGACTACCAAGTGCTGAGCACTAAGTGTCGAGTTCCAAGTTCCGAGTTCCGAGTTCTGAGTTCTGAGTTCCAAGTGCCAAGTGCCCCAATGCTTTCGGGTATTAACACCCAGATAGCCCTCGCTCTCAGGGGCCCGTCAGAATTTAGATCATCTCAAACGGATGTGATTTGAGTGAGATATGAACAAAATACTATATACCGGGTGAATTTCAGCATTGGAAGTTTGATGCTTTCGATGTTTGTGATGTCGGGTCTCGATGCTTTTGGGCATTAACATGTAGATAGCCCTCAATCTCAGGGGTGTGGCAGAATGCACGTTGTCTCAAACGGATATAATTTGAGTGAGATATTTGCACCATACTATGTATATACTGACTACCGAGTGCTGAGTGCTGAGTTTTGAGTTCCGAGTTCCGAGTGCCAAGTGCCGAGTTCCGAGTGCCGAGTGCCGAGTTCCGAGTGCCGAGTGCCCCGAGGCCTTCGGGTATTAACATCCAGATAGCCCACGCTCTCAGGGGCCCATCAGAATTTAGATCATCTTAAACGGATGTGATTTGAGTGAGATATGAGCAAAATCCTATATACCAAGTGAATTTCACCATCAGAAGTTTGATGCTTTTGATGTTATTGATATCAAGCCTCGATGCCTTCAGGCATTGACATGCAGATAGCCCTAGATCTCACGGGTCTGGCAGAATTTAGCCCATCCCAAATGGATAAGAGTTGAGTGAGATATGAGCAAAATCCCATATACTGTGTGTATTTCAGCATTGTAAGGTCAATGCTTTCCATGTTTGCAATGTCTAGCCTCAATGCATTCAGGCATTCACAAGCAGATAGAACTTGATCTCAGGGGCCTGTCACAATTCAGATCGTCTCACACGGATAAGACTTGAGTGAGATATGAGCAAAATATTATATATCGGGTGATTTTTGATGTCAGGCCTTGCACAAAGGGTAAGCACATAGCACAACAGGAATAAATCCTGTTGTCCTAGTATCCTTATATATTGCATATACTATCGAAGGGATGTTGGGGATCATATTTTGCCTCAAACAGACATGATTTGAGGGAGATATGAGCAAAATACAATTTATTGGGTGTGTCTGAGCTTCGCAGGTTCAATGTTTTTGTTGTCAGCCTTGTGTGGGAAAAATTCTAAAACATCAGGAGAAACATAAAAACACATCATCAGGGACTGCATCAGGTTTGCTATGATCACACCTATGTATAATATGATAGATTGGCTTCCAATGTACTGTTCCAGTCCCTGAAACAGTATCTGTCAGTGGTATGTATCTCTAAATACAAAAAAACTCGAAATTCAAGGCAATCACTGTGCACTGGTGCAAGAAAGTTACAATCACAAGATATATACATCAGCAAAATATGATTTTGCCACACGGTTACCAGAAGGTCACAAGCTTTCACAGTGCTTACTAGACTAAGGATATGATTGTCTTAACTCAATAGTCTTAACTTGCTAGGCATAATATAAGCTTTCTTAATAACCATGACTGTCATATCTTCCATAATAATCCTAACCCTCACAGCTTATGTATTATGTAGTAATCAACAATCATATTAGACTATCAAGTGAAGACTATCGTGTAATGACTATCAAGTTAAGACTACTGTATTTTATTCTAAGTCTGTACAATAGACCTGTGATACTTGATGAGTGTCAGCCTGAACAGTATATTAAAGATCACACTATCATACTACACATAGGTATGACTATTGAAGACATGATGTAGTGCCTTATGATGTGTTTTTATGTGTCTCCTGATGTGTTGAGAATGTCCTACATTACCTCATATGTCCATGTGAGGCCATATGAATTCTGTGACACTCCTGACATTAAGGGCTATCCACATGTCAATGAACACAGTCATCTAGGCCTCACATTGAAATCATTGAAAACATCAAACTCCTGATGCGAAAATATGATCCAAATTCTGAAGGACCCCTGAGAGTGAAGGCTATCTGCATATCAATGCCTGAAAGCATTGAGGCCCGACATCAAAATCATTGAAAGCATTGAACTTCCAATGCTGAAATTCACCTGATATATAGTATTTTGCTCCTATCTCACTCAAATCACATCTGTTTGAGATAATCAAAATTCTGATGGACCCCTGAGAGCAAGGGCTATCTGGGTGGTAATGCCCGAAAGCATCGGGACACTCAGCACTCAGAAGGCACTTGGCACTTGGCACTCGGCACTTGGTACTCAGCACTTGGTAGTCAGTATATCTCACTCAAATTATATCTGTTTCAGACAATCTGAATTTTACCACACCCCTGAGATCGAGGGCTATCTACATGTCAATACCCAAAAGCGTTGAGACCCGACATCAAAAACATCGAAAGCATTGAACTTCTGATGCTAAAATTCACCCGGTATATAGTATTTTGTTCATATCTCGCTCAAATCACATCCGTTTGAGATGATCTAAATTCTGACAGGCCCTTGAGAGTGAGGGTGATCTGGGTGTCAATACCCGAAAGCATCGGGGCACTCGGCACTCGGAACTCGGAACTCGGCACTCGGCACTTGGCACTCGGAACTCAGAACTCAGAACTTGGCACTCAGCACTCGGTAGTCAGTGTGTGGTATTTTGCATATATCTCACTCAAATTATATCCGTTTGAGACAATGTGAATTCTGCCACACCCCTGAGATCAAGGGCTATCTACATGTTAATGCCCGAAAGCATCAAGACCCAACATCAAAAACATCGAAAGCATCAAACTTCCAATGCTGAAATTCACCCGGTATATAGTATTCTGTTCATATCTCACTCAAATCACATCCATTTGAGATGATCAAAATTCTGACGGGTCCCTGAGAGCGAGGGCGATCTGGGTGTTAATGCCCGAAAGCATCGGGGTACTTGGCACTCGGAACTTGGCACTCGGAACTCGGCACTCAGAACTTGGCACTCGGAACTCGGCACTTGGAACTTGGTTCTCGGCACTTGGCACTCGGAACTCAGAACTCAGAACTCGGCACTCAGCACTCGGTAGTCAGTATATACATAGTATTTTGCAATATCTCACTCAAATTATATCTGTTTGAGACAATGTGAGTTCTGCCACACCCCTGAGATCAAGGGCTATCTACATATTAATGCTCGAAAGCATCAAGACCAGACATCAAAAACATCGAAAGCATCGAACTTCTGATGCCAAAATTCACCCGGTATATAGAATTTTGTTCATATCTCACTCAAATCACATCCGTTTGAGATGATCTAAATTCTGACGGGCCCCTGAGAGCGAGGGCTTTTAATACCCAAAAGCATCGGGTCACTCGGCACTCGGCACTCGGCACTCGGCACTCGGCACTCGGCACTCGGCACTCGGCACTCGGCACTCGGCACTCGGCACTTGGTACTTGGTACTTGGTAGTCAGTACTCAGTGATTCGAGTCTCGAGACTCGAGACTTGTGATTCACAAGTCAAAATTTGAAACTAATGTGTAGTATCTTATGTATTTCTGTACTCATTTCACTGACTACCAAGTGCCGAATCTCGGGTCTTGGGTATCAGGTCTCGGTACTCGGTACTCGGTATTTCCAGATGACAAAAATGTATATCATCTTCAATTTGAATTTTCTTAACTCGTAAAAATGTATGAGTTTCCAGTTGAGTTTTGAATTTTGAGTTTTGAGTCTCTTGAGTCCCGAGTCTGGGTGTTCAGGGCTCGGGTTTCAGGTTTCAGGTTTTGGGTTTTGGGTTTTGGGTTTTAGTACTTGGTACTTGATATTACCCGATGTCGGCCCACCCGTCTATGTAAAATTCTGCACTTCAGCCCACCCATCTATCTAATATGACCCCACGTCGGCCCACCTGTCTATGTAATAAATAATTCACCTCACCCTCGGCCCACCTGTCTATCTAATATTACCCCACGTCGGCCCACCTGTCTATGTAATAAATAATTCACCCCACCCTTGGCTCACCCGTCTATCTAATATTTCCCTACGTCAGCCCACCTGTCTATCTAATAAATATTTCACCGCTCCCTCGGCCCATCCGTCTACAAAATAATACTGATACGTCGGCCCACCCGTCTATATAATACTATTTGCTATACATCTCTCCTCAGGTCTATAATATATGTCAATCCTACTCTACATATTACCCACATGGGCCCACCCATCTCCATAATAATATTTCTCCCGGCCCATCCGCTATCATCGATGATATATATAACATCAGCATAGATGGGCCCACCCGTCTCCATCGGAAATAATATTCCTCCCGGCCCACCCGTCAACATCGGGTATATACATAACATCGGCCCATAATCTGCTGGCCCGTATTACACGGGATATTATGTAGGTCGGGTGACCCGTATAATACGGGATTTGTCACTGAAGGGGCTCAGAATCTTTGCACAGATTCTTTCAAAGTTCCCCATCCAGAGGATCACATTATCGTGTCAGCCTCAAACACTCCCCTCACTTGGGTACGACCAGCCCAAGATGGCTTTCCACCCCAGGTATTCAATGCAATGGATCTGTCCTTACTGGCACATCCCACTTCCCGCCTTAATGACACGTGTATCAATGGTTGTGCAGCACTATTATACTCTGAGATGCTGACGAGCTCGCATGTGCGAGCTTGTGCTATTCTGTCTACCCATGATCTCCCTCGTATTCGATACAATGCGTTGGACGACATACTGTGGCGGAATATGTCGTGGACGTTGTTTTGGGAGAGAGAGATCTGGCTTTTACCTATTCATCGCCCCTCTCCAGTCGGACACTGGGTGTTTTGTGCCATATATATTCCGTCCAAAGAACTCCATCTCTTCGATAGCCTGGCTGAACGACAGCCATGGAAGACAGATGTAAAAGTCAGTGATAATTTGATTCACACATTATTGAATTAACAATGTGAACAGGACATTATGAATCTTATCGCAAGATTATCATCCATAGCTCACCATCGGCGTGGCTCAGCTAGTATTGATCTTAAAGGGTGGGTAGCCCATCCACTAATACTCAATCCTCTGCAGATGAATGGTTACGACTGCGGTCTCTGGGTCTTAGCGGCACTTGCAGCAGTCCTTCGGGGATCCCATGGACCAGGCATGTCCGAGGAGGACATGATAGCTTTCCGACATTATATATGCACACTTGTAATTAGAGTACCTACCATGTGATATACAATCCATCCGCTTCTTCGACTCTCCTGAAAATGTGCGCAGAACTACGCTGATTCAAGTATGGTACCTGATTATGAATGATCAAGTTAGCAACTCAGACCAATGAACGCAGATACTCATGTAGTTTTAGGATAAGAGAGTTAGAACGAGAAAACCCTGCAAGGAACAGGCTACCCAACTAACTGATTGATGGCATACTTACCGAGCATCGTGGAGTTGAAGGAATGCGCGCAGAACTACAATTACATTGATTCAAGTATGCTAGCTATGCAATAATCAATGAAGGATGGAGTTAGTGACTACTTCCCTATCTAACTCCTCCCTCGATCTTGGAAGTCAGACTTGAATTCCGAACTTCTTCATTCATACAGGCTCCGCTAGCAGAGTTTTGATCATCCAGGCCATATCAGCATGTATGCGTCAAATGTGGTGTCTCAGTGGGGTTCTCCCACTGCTCCCAGGAAAGCTTTGCTTATTCATGGATTGATTTTGTGCTCAAGTTCATGGGAAGGTGTCACTCAGCTATTAGTAGCAGAAGGTCAGGTCTTGTGACACTATGGCAATTGTGCTCTGTTTTCAACAGGCTTTCACAGGGTTCTTCGTCGTGGCTCCAAATCTCCTTGGGCATGCATGGAGACGGGGCACTGATTACTGTGAATCCACTCTTGCAGAGGACATCTGACCATACTCCATCAATGACATGTCCTACAACATGGTTGTAGTTGTCCCTCAGATGGTACTTCACCAATATCTTCTATATCATCAATGATGCCATCTGTAGTCATTGAAGTCTGGCTGAGGTAGGCTACTTTTGGAATTAGCCCACAGGTACGAAATTTGTCATTCTACAAATCTTCTACATCATCAACAAGGCCATCCGTCATGGTAGTCATCGAGGTTTGGCTGAGGTGGGCTATCTCCGGAATTAACCCGGCTCCACTGGCAGGTAGGGTTTGCAAGGGAGTTTCATGACTCACCTCTTCCAGTTGCCGTGTAGCAATCAACTTCCAGGAGGGTGGGGGCGAGTGGCACTTCAACAAATACACAGAGTTTCTGACAATGGTGAGAAGGCGCTGGAGAAGTTTCGTCCAGTGTGAGATGAGGGAGACTCCTGGGACGAGGAGGGCCAGGAGATGGCTCAGGGGATGACAATTGGAATCACTGAGGACGAGGACGGGGATGGGGACGAGAAGGCGTTGGAGAAGGCGCTTGAGAAGGCGCTAGAGAAGGGGATGATGATTGGAATCGCTGAGGATGAGGACGGTGACAAAGATGAGGAGGCGCTGGAGAAGGCACTGGAGAAGGTGCTAGAGAAGTCTCGTCCAGTGTGAGACGAGGGAGACCCCTGTGATCGATCTGACAATTGAGGAACTGACGTCGTCCATGAGAGTGGGGTGATTCAGCGCTAGGAGCTTCTCCATAGATGACGGGGTCACGAGAGAACAAGAGTCTTCGGCGGGCATCACGATCAGTGATGTGTTGGAGGGTCAGTAAGTCATTTTTGAGAGCATCTACAAGTACGCTCTGCTCACGAAGAGTGAGGTCATGGATGCCTTTGCTCTTTGCGAGCGTTGTACATCTCTCACCAGGCATCAGAGTGTTGTCGGGGTAGTTACGGAGGATGCAGCCACAGTTGCCTAGTAGGATAGGTAAGGTCTTCCAAGGGAAGTTACCCGCTCGTGTGTCGAGTTTTCCTGCAATGATTTCAGTGATCAAGTGAAAACCTTGAGAACAGAACTTACCACACAAGGCGATCAAACCACCCATGATGCAAGGTAACCCATCCAACTGCCTCTAATCATCAGGATCACTGATTTCACGCCATTCCAGCCACTCTTGTAACACTTCCTCCACAGGCAACCCACACTGCGATGCGATGTGGTTGAGAACATGGTCGAGCTTTGCAAAGTCCATCAACAAAGAAGGAAGAACAACAACTTGAGGGCAGGATGTAATCGATTGCGAAATCGCGCATAGATTTAGCGTTTGATGTTTGTAAGTGTATATCATCGATAATGGAGGATTTCATTGATAGTGGAGGGTGGAGTCAATAGATATGAAGAAGCGCACCTTTGTGATTGATGGAAGCACCTGCTCAAAGTAGCCAGAAGGCGCCTTATACCTTGCTGATGATGGCATCAAGGAAGGTTCATAAAGTTTCTCACGCGTCAAAATGACTCATTGGCATGGTGCCGGGATATGCAGCCTGTAAGTTTCAGTCATGTGGGTCCTACAATTACTGACATGACCTGAAAGACCCAACCATATCTTCACATGGGTCCTTCATACTCCTGCTTACCCACAACCAAAGAGGCATGTTTGCTATGGGCCCAGACACATAGTAACGGATCTTCGAATTCCAGGTGTGTGGATCCTCCTAGGTCTCAATAGAACTTCAATCCATGCAGATCTTACATTGGACGCCAGGACACTCGACTGTACTTTCAAGTAGGTGCTCATATTCCTCCGTCACTTCACAATATCTCACACTGTTAGTTACACTATGGACCCTCCGACCGAATACCAAACTGCTGCCACCAAGCTCGAAGCTATGAGGGCCAAGCGTTGCCAGTACTATGCCAGGTATGTGACATTTGTTTCAGTTAGCCCCCAATACTCCCAAGCTGAACAAAGATACAGGTGCCGTGATATGATACTCACGAAATGGAGGCAGAGATGCTACACCAACAAAGATGATCCCCCAGAATCATTGTAAGTCCTAAATATTATTGTCTTGGACGTGTTTATAATATTTTTATTAGAGAGACATTGGCTGATTGCATTGCCGTGGTCAAATACGCCAAGGTCGACTTCATGCAATATGTTCAATCTCCATGAACATTCACCTTGGGCGTCTTCGCCGAATACACAAAATCTATCCCCGACACTCCTGGAGGTCACGGAGATCGAGAAATTTTCAAACGTGCAATGTCGAGCATCGAGGACTTCCTCGAGAGGGCTACTCGAGGGCAAGGTGGTATACTTCAATTGTGGGGGGTCTGTGACAAGTGGCGCGCTGCAGACCAAGTTTGCCAGGGCATGAGCGACACGATTGCCATGGTAGATGACATCTACTGTCACGCACTCAGCGATGGAGATGCCGAGTTAGCAGTAGTTCATTTTCTCAAAGGGTGCTTGTACCAGAACTACAACGACTACTGAACCGGCTCATATGTTGCGTATATGTATAACTATCTCGACTCTGTGACTTTGACACTGATGGATGAAATGTATGGAGAATTCAATCTCGAACATCTGGAGATGCTTTGACAATGCTCCTGCCTACCTCTGGACTACCACGTGTGAGCTAAGAGTTACTGACTTCTGTCTTCCAACTGCGGATCTCTTCGTGACAGCTTTTCTCCTGGGCAAATTCAACAGTGTCTTGCCCTTCGTCTGACCCTACAAAATACTGTGACATTGGTATGTTTTTCTGCTTCTCCCTCCTGCGTCGAACTCAATCTGAACCACTCAGAAGCCTTAGTCATAGCTAGGCTTGATAATTCAATCTCTGATGTCTGGAGAAGGCTCTGCAGATGCTCCCAGAATACCATATGTGAGCTAAACAAATCTGTTCTTGCCGATCACGACCTCTGTTCCTAACTTCTGTCTTCAAAGTTCAGACAGTGGATCTCTTCGTGACAGCTTTTCTCCTGGGCATATTCAACGGTGTCTTGCCCTTGGTCTGACCTCTTCCGCTCCCGCTACCCTCCTTACCATATTGTATTGTTTAAAAAATACTTTGACATTGGTATGTTTTTCTCCCTCTCCCTCCTGTGTTCTAGTCTGAATTTTTCTCCTTCTCCCTCTCATGCCCCTGGCTTGATCATAACTTATCGGCCTAGCTATGACCCAAACCTCAGCTAAAATTACCTCAGCTAAAATTCAAGATTCCCCGCCACCCGGATACTCTGCCCCTCCTGAGTCCCTGCAGCCCGAGCGTCTTGAGGCGCCTCACACTGAAGAAGACTTTGTTGAAGAACAAGTTGGTGGAGGAAAGCGCTATCAAGATCCACCAGTGGAGCACACTCCTACAAAACTCCACAGTCACATCAAAGCTATGAACCATGATGCGGGTTTAGTGAAGGAAGCTTCTATGCGTCGGGCCCGGCTTCTCAATGAGGAGTTTATGGCGGATTCCAATGGACAGGTACTTGATACGTTGCTCGCTGATGCTGAATACTCAACCCCTCCTCAGCCTGCTCTTCGAGAGTGTTCGGTGCCTTTGCAGCTTCCTATACAAGATGTGTGTTACAAGGCTCCTCTTATCAATTCATCTGAGAATGCTCGCCCAGATGGTGGCCAGCCTCCACAGCCCAACTTCTTTACGAAACCCTTGTTTCTACCACTGGAACAATATGACTTCAGTGGTATGATGTTGGGTTCCTTCGAAAATGGCAGAGATGACAACCACATTGCCGGCTCATCGATGTTGCTACCTGCTGTGCCTCAGACTTACATCACACCTCCTACTCCCACAGGGCCTGCAGAATGGGAGGGTCATCCTTACACTGATGACTTTCCCATGGATGATGCTTTCGACTTCCCCGTGGACGATACATCTGATGTCATCCCTACAGTGAAGGGGCGAAGATTTCAGACAGCAAATGCTGTGCTCCGAGAGGGATTCGTGGAACTCGAACGTATGATTCAAGATCTAAGTAGCAAAAAAGCCATCCCCACTCATCAGATCGTCACACTTTGGAACAAGAGCCATGCGTGCTCCACCAGTACTGTCAACCATTGGAACACTTACAGTAGGTACTTCAAGGACCACCTCAAGGACGAGCTTGCGAGGCTCGGCAGGAGGGCCCCTGAGATTCATGGCACACCAAGTTAGTTTCACATCTTGTGGCTGATGTTTTGTCATTCTAATGTGGTGATTCAAGGTGCCACTGTGCGCCTTAATTGCTATGAACTCTTCAAGGCAGCATTCCCGGACAAGTGGCAAAACATCCTCGAGCTTCATGAACAGTCAGTGATGCTCCTGGGTATTCCTCAGACGGTTGCCATGCGGGGTCAAGAGTTCCAGAAATTTGGCACAAAGATCTCTGGCCTTGTGAGTATAATTCTGTCATGTTTTACTATTGTGTTACTGAGGGTAGACAGATGGACTCTGCAGCAGCTTGCTATGGGTTTGAGGCTGCTTTTGTAGCGTGCGGGAAAGTCGTTAATCAAGACGGCTCGCTGGGCCTAGCCCATACGACACCTGGAGCTGAGGGTGTGAGTATTTGTAGGCCACATAAACGTCACCTAATCACTATCTTAATTTTAGTTTTGGAAATCGCGCTGTAGGGCTGATGAAGATACTATCATCGGTCACTTGAAAGCCCAGGTATAGTAAGTATTGTCTCGACATTCCTGGTGACAAAGTTCTCATGTAATCATTAGTAACCTGACATCACTCGGTGTCATTGAAGAGGCCTTTGATGAAGACAGCATTGGGATCGAGGCTAACGTACGCGGGGCTTCAGTCCCCCCTTCAGAATCTCTTGACATTTCCAAGCATGGAATCAAGTGGATCAAGGATGAGTTGCATCATCAAATTGGTATTTTGAGTGTATTTCATTTGTCGTTTGTTCGCTGACATTGAGGGACAGATGCACTGGGCAGAAAACCAACGTCCAACAAGATTTTTCCATGGAAGACACTGCCATCGGAGCTCACGCATATGTCAATGATCATCAAAGGATATCTGGAGGACGTGCTCCTCCCAGGTGGTTTTCATACCACCGTAAATAAAGGTATTGCAAACCTGACTCTGAAGGAGACCAGCATTGTCATTGCAGCCTTGAAGGCGGGGACCATGAGCATCAAAAAAATTGCCGAAGCTAAGTGAGGTATGTTTTTATTCAATTTCAGTCTTTGCCTGCTTACAAATGATCTTTTATACAGCTAAAGTCCTCACTTCTGAGTGCCCAGTAGTGGAGGGTGTGCCTCCTGCAGCATATTCTGTTCATACTGCAGGACGTCGCCTTTTTGTGAATGGCAAATCGGATCGCCTGGGTGCTCTGCACCTGAAGCAGAGCACAGCTACTTCCATAGTCAAAGGCAAAACATCAAAGAAAGCATTGGCACTGCCTGCTTCCACAACATCTCTTGCTGACGAGTCCGATGATGAACCAAGCGTGTCTGCACCTGTCTGCCCTCAGCCTCCCCCCTCCCGAGAATTCAAACTCGTTAAGCACCTGACGGGCCAGAAGAAGGTTGACAAGGAGGTCATTTCCTTGGCATCTAGTGATACTCCGTCTGGCTCAGAGGACCTAGATGAAAACCTGGAGGAATCAGTGATTCTCAACTCCAATTACCAAGATGATGTTTCCTCCAAGAAGTGGAAGGCAAAATCTGAAGGCGCCTCGCGAGCATCCAAGAAGAGGTCACTGTCTGTTGCGCCTGCAGAGAAGGCAGTTTCAGCAAAGAAGACGAAAGGTAAGGTACCTGTGAGGCCTAAACCCAAGGTGCCTGAGAGGAGAGCACCATCGGGGACTGCTGAGTCCTCCGGTGATGAACATATTCGAGATGTGAGGGTACGAGGTATGTTTGTTCCTCTTGCATTTGCTTCTATAAGGCAACTGATGTATATTGTAGCCAAACCTGCTAAATGTCTGCTTGATGGTTCATCAGCTCAAGGTATGAATTTGTTGACTACATTGTTACAATTTCCACTGACTGACATGATCCTTAGAGCATCCTGTGACTGCAGTCGATCCCATCGTGGATAATGACGTCGATGCTCCTGACGGTAGTGCCGTCAACAAAGCTGCAGCAGAGACTCGCTTGAGCAATGCTGATGCTACCAACAGCCTCCCCACACATCCCTTGCCTCCCTTGCCAACTTGTCATGCTTCGGTAGACTTATTCCCGGACAACATTGTGCAGTGCAAGATCTCTCGCACCAGCTTCTAAGTCGCCTGTTGTGCGACCTCCATCCCTGCAGCATGGGGAATCTCTTGGGCCAGCAGCTAAGTCGCCTCTCATGCAACCTCCATCCCTGCAGCCTGCAACAATTCACGACCAACCCATTGGGCGCAGGGAGCCTGTCATGGGGATGCCACGATCCCATCATGAGCAGCATACCGAATCCGAGATGGCGGCTGCACCTACCGACAGAGACTTTAATACTGAGAGTCACTCCATGATGCGGGCGCACGATGCAGACATGAGACCAGGGATGTATGGTCCATGCCCAAGGGGTCCAATGTCATCGTGCTATGGACAAGGCTTTGCTCGTTACCCGCCGCCCGAATATTACCATGACTCCCATATAGCACATGCCCCCCAGCCCCCCCATGGTCCTCAGCCTCAGTATCACGGTGATTACCATGATGCTCCCTACCACAATTCTCGCGATGGATACAACGGTTATGTCGAGACTTATTGGCACCCTCCCAGCAGTGCATATTTTGGTCCACAAGGCAGATACCAGCATGGGTATGGGCGTGAGTATCCTAATGAGTACCCCAAGGACCAGGAGGATTGAGGACGAGCTCCTTAGGCTCACAGGCCTCATTTTTTGCATTCAGGTGACTCCCTTGGCCTCGTATATATTGAGTTGTTTCGTCATTTTTGGTTGTCGTGCTTGCCGTCGAACGTTGACGTATCTACTGTGTCCTTTTGTATCTACCATAGTATCAGCCAATGCAATATTTTGTATGTGATCAGGCCTCGTTTGACTCCTCAAGACAATCACGATCACAGAGGATTGGGTGCAGAAATGGAATAAAACATTCAAACTGGAATATGGAAGTATGGAAGTATGGATAACATACAGATACGGAGAGGCTCCAGAACACATCTGCTATCACACTTGCCGACATCGTGGGGATATGGAGATGCTGACATTGGGAGGCAGGCAGTGAGCATCAGGAGAGGCTGCTATGTTGAGGCTCTCCAGGGAACATACCAGGAGGTTGCGCTTACCCTCTGTGACGAGGCTTTGGTTACATGCTCTCGAGGGATGGCCACACATCCTGGGAAAACTAGGGCGAAGCCTCCTGGAGGAGGGGGTCTCTTAGACTATATATTTGCTACATAATAATAGAGTCTGACGGTACGTGGGAACATCTTGAAAGTGCTGTCCAAGGGTGTGATTACCCGAAAAGTTAAACTTTGATGGTGAACCCATTGACTTCCACACTAGCGCCGCATACACCTGAAAAGAAAATCAAATGAACATGAATTCAAGAAGGAAAGGAAAGAAATACCGCAGTCACCACAAGAGCTACCAAAGGGATGGGTACCTCTGGACGCTTGGCATTGTTCTCCGCGAGGTCGGCAAAATGCTTTGCAAAACGGACACCGATGGACTGAGAGCCATTAAAAACATGGCCGAAAATCAGGGCAATTAAGATTTCACCCTGATAGGGCTTGTTTCATATGGGTGAAGGGATATTATGGGCCTGCAAAAACGTGAAGGTGAGTAATTTGACACCAATGAGCAGTAGTAGTATAAACTTGCGTCAAACTTCATTGCATAGATATATGCATGCTTTACCATAAGATTTTTCGCTTTTTCTACGTCTATATGCCCCAGATGAAAGTAGCCAGAGACCTTTGTGCACGCATCATCTTTCAGTTCTCGCCGGAGGATTGGTATACGAGCATCTACCTGTTGTCACAGTCAATATATATGTGTATATACTCGCAGAAAAAAACATACCAGACTAGCCAGTTGTGAGATGTAGTCCTCATCCATGCGATGATGTTTCTCAATTTCGCACAGATTGTGCTGCGCTGCAACAGTCAACAATGACTAGTATGAAAGCTGGTTTTTGTCAACTAATTCAGGGAACCCATCAACGAAGGCAAGTTGACACTTTGCCTCCATAATTGCCCCTTTAACAACTCTCTGTGTCTCTAGGTTCTGAGCCAGTAGCTTTATGTTTCCACCCTCAGCGACCACGATGTGAGCCAAAGCTGTACTTGTAGAGCGACTCTTCGACTTGGAACTTCCCTGGACAGATAGTGACTTTGGTGATTCGGGTTTTGACTCTTGTTCACTGGCGTCGGACGTTTCACAAGACTCTGAGACGGCTACTCTGGCCCAGGTTGGGGTCCAAATCAGTATTAAGTTAGTTGTAACTGATGTCAAAGCCAGTTCTTTACTATTACTAACCTCCGTCGTTGTTGCGGTCAATTGAGGGTGAGGAATGATAGCTGCGTGCTAGGGGGAAGAGTGGGAAGTGGGCTCTCGAGTGCTCCTCTGGATACGAGTGGAAAGTCGTCCCAAGGGGATTGCTACTGAGAAAGATTCCTCTAGTGAAAGGTGAGGGGGATCTATAACCAGCGGTTCGGTCTCGAAGCCTGAATGGGACTCTGAGGCAAATAATGCACCCAAAAGCGAAGTGCACTAGCTAAAAGCGCCTAAACGCGCTAATAAGGCGGAAAGTGCGGAAAAGTGCGCTTCAATGTCAAAGCGCACTTCGTGCGATCACAATGGAGTGCTTCAAGTAGAGATGACAATCAAATGGGGGAATCAGGACTTTGATAGATGTAGAAATAGACACTTAAAGGTGTCAAAGCGCCAATAGGAAGGAAAACCGGTGTATTCAGATAGAAACTCAAGCTATACACTTTGATGGTAGTGGAGCGGAAGTAAGTGACAGGAAAACAAACATGGTGACGTGTAGGTATGCTAAGCGAGTTCCCACGGCTCGGAGCCGAATAGGAAGTACTAAGGTAAATGGTGAGGTAAGTCAGGGTCCATAACGAGATATGATGATAAGTACTAGTGCCTGCGTGATGGAATATGAGTTCTGAAGAAGGGAAAACGCACCAATGGACCTTGGAGGACTAGGACGGGACATGCGGAGGACAGGCGACGGATACTAAGGAAATGCGACGAAGTGCACCGTAACGCGCTCGAACGCACTTGAACGCGCTGGTACACGCCAAAGCGTGCGTTGCGTGGAAGTCGTATGAGAAGCGTGTTGAGAAATGTGAATCTCTACAACGTGCCAACTGTTGGTGATGGTACTGACTTGGAGCAAATGGGACCTCATTATCCATCAGCTTTGCAATCGTTTCTGGCATCTCGTCCTCTCCTTCATCAATGTCTGAACCGCTGTAGAGACTCGCAGTTTCTGCAGGCACATATGGGCACATTTCGCACCTTTTCACAACTCATGACAATTGGCCTTCAATGCACGACTCGCACCATCAGCTATATTCGACTTCTATCATGTCCCTAGTCGTTTTACACATAATGCGTAGCTTTCCCGCGAAACGCGCCATAGGCGCGGTACTTTCCCGCACAACGCGCAGCATTCCATACACACACCTTGCGCGCTTTCTCGCGCTTAAGCGCCCTGCAAGCGCCCTGCATTGCCCTCATCGCCTATCATCCAGGAACATCCCTCTATGTCCACCCACCTCATTGGTACGTCATATCCCTTGCCTCATGGTTTGTAACAAGCATTGCAGCGCTATTACATGTCATTACGTATTCATAGCGCTTATTGCTCCTATCCCTTCCACTTCCGATGTGATTTCCATAGTATAAAGTTTGCTGACTTACTACTTCATCATTATTACTCCCCTTTGCTGTACTTCCCTCGCTATTGGGTTTTACTTTAAAGTAGTAGTCACCACTTGGGCGCACTTTGTGTTTCCAATGGTTATTGTTATCCGCCTATACTAGACCTTTATCTGCGCTTGTTATAACACTCGCTCTGCGTTTGCACTCACTTTGCACATCCGCTTCCTTATCCGTTTCCTTATCCGGTATGTTCCGCACAATGCACACCTTAGCGCTCACGTTCCCACGCTCGCGCTTACCTTAGTGCGCTCTCTCGCGCTTCGCGCTCACTTCGCTTTTCTTCTTGTGCTTTCACGCATCCATCGCACTTCAAGGGTCTTTCTTTCATCTGGTTCTGTGTTCAGTAGTAGTCCCCTTTAGGGTTGAATGTTTTTGCATTCTGTGAGTATAGCAGCTAGGCAGAGCCAAGACTCACTTATACTGGTTGAGCATTTTTAGATATTTCATATCAGCCCAGCCAGGTTGAGATCGCCTCACCGCCCTCCATGTCATGTGCGATTGCATCAGAGTTGATCTCATCCGCAGAATCCTTGCCATCACTGTCACGGTGATGAGCCTCTGAGTCTCTGGCACCTCGCTGTGCCAGCTGCACTAGTACATTAAGGCAGGTCACAGTGAGTCATGTTTTCATTCTGCTTGTGATACACTAACCTTTCTTTCGAATGAAGGTATCTTTGAGTTTGTCACTGCGCTCTAGGTCCTCTTCGTCCGAGTCATGTGGGGTATGTCACCGCTCTAGTTAGTTCTGTGTTAGTGATAATTCCCAAGTCAAGATGATTAATAAATTTTACTACTAGATGATTTGCCTTTGGACATTGTGGCAGTTGGTCTTGTTTTCTGCGTGGGATGACCTGTTGTTTTTTTCGCAGCCTTCAAGTTAGCCATTGGAGGACAATCCTTTGGCGTCATGTCCTTTGGCGTCTTTTTCACAGTGGGAGCTTTGCTTCTGCCTCCTTTAACCTGCCAGTGATTCCAGACTCGTAAAAGGTGAGTATGCATGTCAATGATTATAGGCAGATGTTCATGCGCTCACCAGCATTTTCCAAGGCTTTTTTCTTTGCATCCCGTGGAACTGTCGACATAATCATAAGAACTCCCTTCAAAAAGTCATGAAGACTTACTGCGGGTGCTACTAGGTGCAGACATAGCTTCAAGATGCACTGACTTGGACTGATACTATTATTATGGTTAACGACAGTGATATTGATGAAGAGTCAGAAAATGCAAAGGAATGTGGGTGGGATTCTGAAGTAAGTCAACATGAACACCTCATCTTAGAAATACCTGCTAAATTTAAGTTATGTCTACTCAGAGACCCAGCATATGAGATCAGATTCAATAAGCAGGTGTTCGGGCTCAATAGAAAGACCTTTGAGGCATTTCGGACGTAATATCAAGACCTCTGAAGTGTTTTGGGCTCAATATCAGTACCTCTGAGGTGTTTCAGGCGCAATATCAGGACCTCTGAGGTGTTTCGGGCTCAATAACATAAGTAGAGGGTCATCTTTACATATCTGAATAATTGCGTCACTTTACAGAAATGAATAAGTGATGACCTGACATTGCAAGTCATTTGGTTTTATGTCAGATACAATGAGGGATTATTTAAACCTTGTAAAGGTATGTCTGTCTAGGTATGAGTTGAGCCAAAAAGTGTCGCAGTCCTCTAAAACAGTATTGCTTGTCCACTCGCGTGGAGCAATGACACCAAATCTTGAGATAAGATGAGTGCTGCTCACGATATCAGCCACAGACACAATGCTGGCCACCTGCTCTCCGCCATGTTGTGCTCGAGAGAGCTTATAGAGGTCGGAGCCCCTTCAGTGACAAATCCTGTATTATACGGGTCACCCGACCTACATAATATCCCGTGTAATACGGGCCAGTGGATTATGGGCCGATGTTATGTATATTCCCGATGTTGACAGGTGGGCCGGGAGGAATATTATTTCCGATGGAGACGGGTGGGCCCATCTATGCTGATGTTATATATATCATCGACGATAGCGGATGGGCCGGGAGAAATATTATTATGGAGATGGGTGGGCCCATGTGGGTAATATGTAGAGTAGGATTGACATATATTATAGACCTGAGGAGAGATGTATAGCAAATAGTATTATATAGACATGTGGGCCGACGTATTAGTATTATTTTGTAGACGGATGGGCCGAGGGAGTGGTGAAATATTTATTAGATAGACGGGTGGGCCGACGTGGGGTAATATCAGATAGACGGGTGGGCCGAGGGTGAGGGGAATTATCTATTACATAGACGGGTGGGCCGATGTGGGGTAATATTAGATAGACAGGTGGGCTGAGGGTGAGGTGAGTTATTTATTAGATAGACGGGTGGGCCGACGTGGGGTAATAATAGATAGACGGGTGGGCCAAGGGTGAGGGGAATTATTTATTACATAGACGGGTTGGCCGACATGGGGTAATATCAGATAGACGGGTGGGCCGAGGGTGAGGGGAATTATTTATTACATAGACGGGTGGGGCCGACGTGGGGTCATATTAGATAGACGGGTGGGCCCAGATACATATCATATAGACAGATAGGCCTAGGTATTGTACATTTTTACGAGTTTCAAGTCTCGAGTGAAGAAAATTCAAATTTAAGATGATATACATTTTTGTTGTCTTGAAATACCGAGACCCGAGACCCGAGATTCGGCACTCGGTAGTCAGTGAAATGAGTACAGAAATACATAAGATAATACACATTGTTCTCAGAAATCACAAGTTTCAAATGTCGATTTGTAAATCACGAGTCACAAGTCTCGAGACTCGAATCACCAAGTACCGAGTACCGAGAACCGAGTACCGACACCCAACACCCAGAATTCAGCACTCGGCACGCGAGACAAAAGATTGGAAACAAAACTCAAAATTCGAAACTCGAAAGTACTGACTACCAAATACCAAGTACCAAGTACTGAATCTCGGGTCTCGGTACTCGGTATTCAGTACTCGACACGATGCTCGAAACTCGTAAAACTGTTTCAAATCACCAAGTACTGACTACCGAGTACCGAGTACTGAATCTCGGGTCTTGGTACTCGGTATTCGGTACTCAACACGATGCTCGAAACTCGTAAAACTGTTTCAAATCACCGAGTACTGACTACCGAGTGCCGAGACCCGAGTACTGAATACCGAGTACCGAGTACCGAGATTCAGTACTCGGTACTCGGTATTCAGTACTCGGTGATTTGAAACAGTTTTACGAGTTTCGAGCATTGTGTCGAGTACCGAATCCCGAGTACCGAATCTCAGGTCTCGGCACTCGGTAGTCAGTACTCGGTGATTTGAAACAGTTTTATGAGTTTCGAGCATCGTGTCGAGTACCGAATACCGAGTACCGAGACCCGAAATTCGAGTGCTTTCGAGTTTCAAGTTTCAAGTTTCAAATCTGTCGTCTCAAGTCCCGAGTGCCGAATTCCGGGTCTCGGGTCTTAGGACTCGGAACTCAGTGACTCAATCAATGGACTGGCAGAGGTTACATTCATTGAAAACTTGTATATACATCTATCACTATGCAATTATGTAGCCATGTCAACCTCCACAGAAGACTCTTCAACCTTCACCTCCACCTCAACATCCATGTTGCTGGAAGAGTCATATTCTGGGACAAGGTTGCTTGGATCACCTGGGTCCACAATTTCACCGGATGCATCTGGATCCTCTGGATGAACAACTTGGTTGTAGTCGAACAGGACACCCTCAATGGCAGAGGCATCCAGGGATGTCGGGGCTGTGGGTGTGGGAGCCATTGTTTCCATACTGAGATCAATCAGAGGAGGGAGTGTGGATTCTGGGGGTGACATGGTGCGGGGGTCGGATTGATCAAGCAACAAGGATGTTGCAGGGGCAGGAGTGTCGGGAAGTGGGAATGAGGGGTGCCGGTCGATGATTTCGCGCCTAAGGCCTTCATGAAGGCGTTGCAGGGTGTCAATCTTACCATCATGCGCTGCCACATGAGCCTCGAGAAGAGCGATTCAAGCTGCGCCATCTCGAATTGCAATGGACATGGCATGGAGATCTGGCATGGGCACCCCAAGTGCTGCAGCAGGGACTGCCGACCTGGAAGACGGAAGGGCTACAAGGGAAAATGAAGGTCAGACGGTGATGAAAAACTCAGGTGACTTACGAGCTGGTGCAGGTGCAGGTGCAGGTGCAGGTGCCTTGACGGCAGTGATAGTCTTGCTGCGACCACGCGTCTGGGTCTTGGGAGTGGTCACAGCAGTGACACCAGAAGTTCCGGCCCGGCCACGAGACTGACTGCGAGTTCGGGCCCTGGACTGGGAGGCAGGGGAAGCTTTGGAGGGGGCGGGAGTCTGGGATGCGGGGGGAGCCTTGGAGGGAGTCTTGGAGGAAGCCCTGGATGGTGTTCTGGACCTCGTCTTCCGGGTAGTAGAGGAAGAACGATCGCGAGGAGGCGGGGATCCCATAGTCGTGGGGGTGCACTTGATCATCTTTGTTGTGCAGTAGATGCATGACATACATGGAGCCCCGGTCCTCTTGTCCAGCCGAGTTGCGCAAGGCCAGTTGTGCTTGTGGCA